CTCGGCATCTCTGCTAAGGTGTCGGAGGAAGAGATGACCGTTCGTCATCTCTCTCCGCAATCTTTTCAGACTCCTCCTCGGAATCTGAAGCAACGACACCAGCGCCCGTCACAATGTTAGGAGCGCCCATAACTCGGGCACTACGCCGCACTGGATGCACCGTCTGTGTGCGCTGTAAGCTGCCAGCAGGATCTGGGAACTCGGGCAATCCATTTCTGGCTGCCTCCGTCCTGATGTTCCCACTCACTGTCATCCGAGTCTGGATGACCATCCGGCAGCAGTCGGAGGGGCAAATTGTCCCTCCCAACCGGCGGCGGCATGCCCCATCTCCACTTGGGATATGGTGGACGAGGACGTCCACCACCAGGAGGCAGAGGAGGGGCAAGGGGAGGATTCCAGCCGCGCGGCGGTGGTCGAGGCGGATTTGTTGGGAACGGTGGCACCCAGCAGGGCAATAACAGCAACGCTGGCCCTGCTACGACTGTCGGGCTTCCACAACAGGGCAATGCAGGCCCTGTTGCGCAGGCGCCGGTCAGACATATCTGTCTGACTTGTGGCCTTCGCGGCCACTTGTGGTGGGATGGAACCTGTGCGGGGCCTTGCTTCCACTGTCCTAGCGCGCCCTACGGGCACGGTTTGGAAAGGTGTCCGATTGCGGAGACCCTTGGCGGTGTATACCCTGCCAAGGTGGAGGTGCGGGTGCCAGAGAATCACGCGGCACAGATGGAAGAGCTGAGGACGCAGCATGCGTTGGCGTTAGTGAAGGAGGTCGCAGTCGAGGAGAGCAGGCTGGCGATGCTGTTGTGGATCAAGAGTGCGGCAGAGAGGGCAGGCTTGGGGCCTGCTGCACCAGAGGTGCCATCTGCGAGGAGCCAGCCCGAGATGGGCTCGGCTGCCATGCACTCGGTGGTCGCGCCGACGGGTCGAAAGATTGCGCCTCTTCCGAAGCGGAAGGGTATGCCTTGTGAGTCTACGGCGACGGACGAGCCGGGCAGGGCTCACAGGGCAAGGAGAGGAGGGGGATGAAGTCCTGGTTGTCGCGACAGAGGAAGAACGCGAAGAGAGCGGCGTCTGGCAAGGAGCCAGGCGAGAATCCAGACGGGAAAGTGGAGCAGGGGCTGGGTGATGAAGAAGGCGACTGAGCCAGTGGTGGAGAAAGGCGAGTAGATGCAGCGGGGCGTGGAGGAACGGGCTGCTTGGAGGGAGGGATTGCTTGAAGGGTTTGAGGTTAGATTGATAGAACTAGAAAACACGCCAAGGGGCTGCTGAATTTCAAGATTGCCGTCTCTCCTTTTGGTGAATCGACGACAACGCTCACGAACAGGTAACTACAACCACAAAAAGCAGCAGCCTTACAGAGAGTCAAACACAGAGGATCCATGGCTTCTTGAATAATGTCTTTCCAATTCGTGCTGTCGTCGTTGCAGAAGGTAGGGGGTTTTTGGCTGTGACAGTCAGGGCGGCAACTTTCAATTTCACCGGGACTTCGCCTATGGCTAGGGCTTGGTCGGCGTCTTCGGGCTCGGCCCATGTCGATGTCTTAGGGCTCGGGGAAGTCACGAGGAGCGATGTGGCGCTCTTCGGCTGGTCGTAACGCAATAGGGACGGCTTCTACATCGCGTCGGAAGCGGGACCATTCGATGTTCAAAGGGTGGCCCGTATGCCACGCTGAAGGAACGGGGAGGTTCTCATCCGTCGTGCATACTTCCAATCGAACGCGGATTTGTTTGGACTATTTCGCTCAGCATCCCGTATGCAGGACTGGAGTATGGCATAGAGAGCCAATGTTCGATGGGAATTCGATTTTGAGGGCGGGTTCCTCCTTAGCTCAGATCGGGGGCTGCTTTGACATCGGCTCGGTCTATGATATCCATCATCGATGGAGTCCACTCGCATTGTTCTAGCTCCTCTCGTTCTGTTGCTAGGACCTACCTTAGGGTTATGTTCTCCTAGACCGATACTCTGCCGCCCCAAGTTAGGGCTTCGGAACTTCGACACGGCGGGCCGTCTAGCCGTCTGCAACGCTCGAGCCCATCAGCTTGCCCTTTTCCATCCCTCTAAATCCCATATTAACAGCGCTTTACTATTTCATTACGTACTCAATAACATAGACGAGCTCCTTCTTGTCCGCGGAACATCATATCCCGAGAGTGCAGAAGCGGGGTGTTGATTGGCACCATTTCAAAGCGGGTATTTTCCTCCTCGTATATAAAAAGAACCCGCCAAACCGGAGTTCCCCATACAACATTCCCAACTGCAATCATGCTTTCTCTCAGCACCCTGTCCCCGCTCGTTCTCTTCACATCGGTGGCACTTGCCGGCAATGCTCATCCTTGGAAGTATGCCAACAACCCCATCGTCAAGCAAACATCCCCCAACTCCTTGACCATCACCACGCCACCCGCAACCGACCTCTGGCACCCCAGCGCTGCTCCCCAAAACTTCACATCCCCATATGTCTACAAGGTCTGCAAGTCTGCGGACTTTCAGCGTGTTTCGGTCACCCTCTCCGCAGATTTCAAGACGAGGTACGACCAAGGCGGTATTGCAATCTTCTTCCCAAACAAGAAAGATGCAAACTCGAAGACTGGTCCCGAGTCCTGGTTGAAGACCGGAATTGAGTTTGAAAAAGGTGCACCACAATTGGGTACTGTCGGAAACTACAAGTTTTCGGACTGGAGCTTGGCGCCCGTCGTTCCGGAGGGTGCAAAGGAGGGAACCTTTTTGGTGGAGAGGAACGGAAGTAAGTTGCACCATTTCCCTTGCCTCGTCGATTGATCCCTTCTCCTCTACCCAACAATCCAGCTAAGACACTGTCTTCCATACTTGCCGCGATGATCTCAATACTGATTCTTCGATAGCTGAGCTGTGGTCATACCACGTCGTCAACAACGACCGCTATCCCCTGCGGGAGGTGACATGGGCGTTCCTCGAGGAGAGAGGCAAGAAGGATGCCGAGCTGTGGGTTGGTCTCTACGCCGCGAAGCCTACGTACAATGAGAACCCGAAGGAGAAGCTCTCGGTGGATTTCAAGGACATCGAGATTGTGTGTTAAGCTGGTGGACCTCCTTATCCTGCTGGGGCTCGGTCAGGGATACGAACAAGTCAGAATGATCCAGAGATCGCTTGGAGCGAGCAGATGATCCGATATCAAATACTGCAGATTGCCCAAAAGGGAGTTTAGATTCTCGAACAGATCTCCGGCTGGCCTGTATTGAATCTCTGCCGTGTACAAACGCTCTGCGTAACATTTCGTCAACGTCTGTGAGATTCTAGTCCAAAGATGCGATGCTCTTGATCTTCACTGCTCAACAAAATTGACAAGGCAGAGAGTGTTCATCAAAAATTCTATTCCAACGACTACGTGCATAATCTAGCTGCACCAAAAACGCGGTACGAAGCTCATATCGTGTCATTCTATCCTCCACCTGTGAAATATACAACCGACTCATCCAATCACAAGAAAAGAAGACCAAACACGCCGACAACGCCGGCGAGAGCACCACTAACAACATTCGTGACAGCAGCACCGGTGTACTGAGGAGGTGGAGAGGAAGATCCCGTTCCATTTGAGGGCATCGTGGCGTTGCCAGCAGGGAAGATGGGAGAGACAGCGGTGCCGGTGGGAGCAGTCGTGTTGTATGATGGGGCGTTCATTGCTGAGGTCGGGGCGACGACGCTAGAAGCGGGTGCGGGTGCAGTTGTGGCCGACGTCATAAGAGTCGAAGATTCAGAAGTGGAGATGTGAGTCTCAGGGACAACAACAGCGTGGGTCGAAGTGGGAGTGACGAGAGTGAGGGCGCCAGCGGTGGAAACGCACATGGCACCATCTGGGTAGGCGTGGGCAGGCTGATGGGATGTTAGCGATGTACATTCATTCAGGCTATCAAAGCCGGTGTTGGTACATACGTTGCATGCATAGGTGCTGGTTTCCGTTGGAGCAGCGACAGACGAGGGAGCACTGTACGCTGGAGGAGCAGGCGGAGGAGGAGGAGGAGGAGCCCCATACGCGGGAGCAGCATTAGGCGCAGGAGGAGCAGGAGGAGGTGGTGGTGGTGGTGCACCGTACGCCGGAGCAGCTTCAGGCGCAGGGGGGGCAGCATTAGGCGCAGGAGGGCCATATGCAGGGGCGACGGCGGCGGCGGCAACTCCAACCATGCCGAGAGCGATAAGTTTGTTCTGCATTTTGTTGACGTGTAGCGACTGTAAAGTTTGGAATGGTCCGGATGACAGAAGTTGAACTTGATTGAGAGTGATTTGAAGATTTGAGAGATGAGTGTGAAGACCAAGGACTTACTATATATCACCAAGTTGCCCCAAATTTGGGACTATGACCGCATGCGCCAGGATTGATTGTTTTGAAGAAGCAGCAACAAGCCAGATTGAATCGGGTCGGCATTGGCGATTCCGTAGACTCGGGGTTGTCATTTTTAGAGGTGCCATACTGTGTGATAGGCTCTGACCAGGTTGACGAAGCTTGGTCGTCAAACATGAGACGCTAATTTGGGAGAGTTTGGGGTTTCAAGCCTCATACATGMGCTTCAAATTGTAGAGACGTGGGCGGAGGCTTAGAAAAGCTATGGCATGGCCGCGCGGCTCTTACGGCTTTCGGGGAGTGTTGGCCTCACTATTGATTGTTGCTTGCTGGAACTTCCACAAACAGCGGCAGAGATCCAGTTTCTTCCAGTCAAGACTTGGTATGGAGCCTTCAATGATCCTCGATGCCCTGAGAGCCGTCAATGACCCTCGATGAAGAAGGGCTGCTGTATTTCGATTCTTGATTCATTGATCGGTCTGCAAAGGTGTTTCAATATTATTCAGCCGAACGTGGAATCAAGGAGTGACATGTGTCTCATATGTACAGCAGCATCGACAGGATCGCGTTACAACAGAAGGGGCCCGARGAGCGTGTTCAGCAGTCCAGCGGCAATGTTGATCTGGCAGCGCTTTCGTGGAGCCAGCGGGCAGTAATGCTCATTGCATTTGATGACTTTGCATACAGAGACTGCTCTGATCTCCCACAGATGAATGGCTGATGGATAATAGATAATAGCCGGCGCATACCACGATCTAACTGGATTGTGTCTCCGATCCTGATGAGTCGGCGAGGAATGAGACGTTGTTGGCACTGCAGTGTGCGAGATGGTCTACACACGCGAGATCAACAGATGGACTGTCTGCCACGAGGTGTTCCATCCGTGATTCATACCCCTGTCTGGCCCTGACTCGGGTTGATGGGCGATGGTTCAGTTCCAAGTAATTTCGAGCTTATGGAGCATGCCACGGGGATCGGGCTGGCGCAGCACCACATGGCCTTCCCTCCATCTCACAAGAGGTTGTCAGGGGCGCAGTCGTCATGGCAATCTCTCCATCACCATCACGCGTTGGAGGTGTCGTGTAAGTTATGTGAGATGAGATGAGATGCTGTGAAGAGGACGCGACCGAATGACGTGGAATTTGGGAGACGTGGGGGCAGGTGGGATCCTTAAGGTAGCGCTCGCTCCGTTATCGGCGCAAGGCAGCAAGCAATGAGGACAACTTGGCGCCAACGAGGACTTCAAACATTACCACCCATCGAAGTCACGTTTATTTTATCATATCAATCGGAAGCGCATGCTGGCTCAACCAGCCCCTTTATGACTGCGTGACAGCGTCAAGAACCTCGACATACCCACTGACTTCTTCCACTACACTAACAGTCAGCATTCATCGTCAAATCTCCAAGATGATGTGACCATCTCTCACCGGTGTTATAATGTAGCAGGCTTACACGGACCACGCCATCAACGGGATCCAACCCCAATACCTGTTCGGCCAGTCTATTGGAGTAGAATGCTCCCCAACGACATCCAAAGTCCGATCTTGCCTCGATCGCATCCACCACCTCCTTGCTGCTCCTCCCCTTGACCAAGAACGAAATGACAGGCACTCGTTTCGCTCGGTCGGCAACTGGCTCACCAATAATCTGAAACCGATCGGGCTTGGAGTTGAGGTAGTCGATGAGGATCGCCTGCAGTTTCTCCTCATACTTGGACGTCTCATCCCACGGCACTTGCTCGAGATACTTGCACACCTCTGGAATCGACGCCGTCAGCTCATAATTCGCGGCTGCCAATCCAAGGAGGTTATCCAAAGTCTCGGTCGGCTTGAAGAAATGTCCCAAAGTCGTCAGACACTTTTGCGCCTCCTTTGACGCATACATTGATGCGATGTGAGGCCCGTAGAGCTTGTACCACGAGAAGGAGTAGAAATCTACACCTAGTTCTGTAACATCAACAGCTCTGTGCGGAGCATATGCCACTGCATCAACGCAAAGCAACGCTCCAGGAACTTCATGGACCGTCTTGGCAATGGCCGCGATGTCCGAAATGGTACCCAAGATATTGCTCGTATGAGTGCAAGTGACGAGCTTGGTCTGCTTCGTCATGAGTCCTCGCAATACATTGCAATCAAGCTGAGGGTTGAGCTTGTCTTCGGCACCCCACCATTTAAGAGTGCATCCCTTCCACTTCGCAAGTTGTACCCAAGATGCAATGTTGGCTTCATGATCCAGCAAAGACACAATGATCTCCRAATCTGGGGTGATGTAGTCGAACAAGGCAAGGGATAGATTTCGGAACAACTGGGTTGTTGACGGACCTAACACAACGCAATCTGGAGTGGTGTTGATGTATTGTGCTACAGCAGAGCAACCTCGTTCAAAGAGGTTTGTCGATTCCTGTGAGATGGGGTATGAAGCTCCTAGCTGCACATTGTTGGATGCMAGATATGCCGCGATGCTGAGAAGCCTGTATCAGGCGATGTTTTCAGAAGGAGTGAGCAACTCACCAATCAATGACTTCTTGTAGAACCTCTGTTCATCATCAGCCATGCCAAGGGTGTGTGTCCTGAGGCTCAACCATGTACTTACGAGAGCCTCCAGCATTATCGAAATACACCTATGACGCAAGTCAGTATGGAGCTGATAGACTATCGATCGTTGTGCGAATTACCTGCTTTTTGCCCAGCGCAGGGAAATGGCTTCGTACACGTTCGATATCAAAAGACATTATGGCGGTGGCGAATATGGTTTGTTGCGGTACAACTAGTAGCGAGAAGGGCGTTCAAGGTTGTGCTGGTTGAGAATGTGGCATGAGCGAACTCAATATTGGGGAGCTTTGAGTTGCCCGCGGCGAGGCGGCCAACACGAACAGGGTTAGGGTTGGGGTAGTATATCTGCGACAAAACAGCTCGAATATTGTCTCTCACGAGTGGTAAGGGAGGAAATTCGGATCCTGGCGTAAGGATGAATCGAATTGCCAGGAGACTTGTCTTTTTGAGACTGCTGGGTGTTATCCTTAGTTGCAGAAAGTTCAAGAGAGGTGAAGTTGGAAACATATGGCAGTTTCTCATCTATGGCCTACAGACAATACTGAGTACTCTGAGCACGCACTTCACAACGCATAAAGCACAGGCATCATAACATCCTTGGACGAGCCAAAGGACCACCCTACCCTCATTCCAAGTTCGAGCTCGTTCTGCAAAGGAAGATGGCACGACATATATGTGAATGCTGCACGCCGATCCACAGCTTCCATCGTCAGTCAGTCGCGGCGGTCACACTGAGGCCCTCAAGTCGGTCGTTCGCACGCCAGCCATCCAGAATTWCATCGTATGCTGCGATGCCCTTGCCCTACGATTGATCAGTATCACAAAGAAATGGCACTTGAAGTTCACTCACATAATTACTTCCACGTGCTGCCCTCATCTGCTCTTCTGGGGACATCTTTGCGCTGAGTTCCCCCTCTGCAAAATGTGAGCATTCAAACCCAACAACGACAAGCTTCATATATCTGACCTTTGTTGAAGTACGATGGCCCACATACTCCGACGGCAGCGGAAGTCCTAAAGATTGTCAGTACTGCTCAACGCGTTGGATTGACAGTACACGTACATTGCCGATCCTAGGATTACTTGAGCCCATTGCTCTTCCGCCTCCGCTGTTGGCTCGATAATTGGCTTTGGTCCACATCGGCGACTTGACTCTGCGATGATAAAGGCAACATGACGAGCCTGAATCTCCAACAGGAACATCTGGTTCGGACTGGACCCGACCTGCAATACACCGGTCCTATATGTCCAGCAACATTAGCTGAATCCACACGCAGATATCCCGAGTATCTGTTGTAGAGAACTCCTACTCACCAGAACAGGTTGGGAAAGCCTTTGCTTGTAATGCCGTGTAGCGTTGAATACCCATTCTCATGCTTCTTCTTCAAGGTGAGGCCATCTCTGCCGATCAAATTGATGCCAGCCTTTTCCGCGGGAGCACCAGATGGGKGCAGAAAGCTATGGAGGCATCAGATTATTTCATAGCGGCAATGTAGAGGTTGTACTGACCCTGTGGACCAGATCATGATATCTAAAACCTCATCAGTTGTGACTGTCTACGAGTCGTCGAAGTTAACTCACCGACACCAAATTCTTTCCCAGCAGCAACAACACCGTCCTGGGTCATCCGATCGATCCCCTTCCCATTCGTGTCTACCAGCGTGACATTAGAGGAATTGAAAGCCTGCAAATACTCATCATGAAAGCAGGGTCTTTTGCACCACCCAGGATACCAAGCTTGAAGGCTTTTGGCTGTCTCGGGATCTTGTACAATCTCCTCAACACGTCGTCGAAGACGCTCCTGACGAGGGTGATCCAGAGCATGCAGCATTGCGACATGCTCGGCCACATTGTCTTGGGTGACATTGTACTGTGGGCTACCGACAAGTGCTGAGAAGCTTGGCATGCTGGTCCACCCATCCTGTGCTGCCCGTCAGTAGTCTGATTATGATGAGATGCCACGAAAACATTCTTACATTGATCAGGTCTACTTCCGGCTTGGGCTGAAGATTACAGGAGAACGCGAACATGTTCTGCGAGACATCAGGAGAGCATTAATCTTCTGCGTGAACTGTACTCACAAGATTGCGTTCTCTTTGCCAACCCGGCTTGCTAGCAATTTGCTTCCATGTAGCTGCATCGGTGTCTCGATTGTTTCTCACATCAACAGAAGACGGCGTTCGCTGGAAGACGTACAGCTCTTTGGCATACTTAGCCAGCTGTGGCACGACTTGAACGGCGGTTGCACCAGTCCCGACTATACCCACCCTTTTGTCTTTGAGACCAGTCAGTTCCGGGGTCCACTCGCTAGGATTACCTCCAGTGATGTCGTATCTCCAGCGTGCGGTATGAAAAGTTTCGCCCTTGAACGTATCACTGCCCTCGGTGATGGGCAGCTTTGCTTCGTTCAGAATTCCGTTTGCAAGATAAACAAAATTGGCGCTGATATCAATACGGGTCGTCTCTCCGCCCTGCGTTGCGTGGATTGTCAATCGAGCTCGAAGTCATCTCAATAGAAGAATGCTGACCTTGGGGGACTGTTCGATCTTCACGTTCCATTCGCTTTTCTCCGAAGACCACTCCAGACCCTTCACCGACGACTGAAACATTGCCCTTGAATGGAGATTGTATTTGGTGCAGATGCTGTTGGCATAGGTTCGCAGCTCTTCGCCGCTTGCATATTTCCGCTTCGGCATGTAATTCATCTCTTCGAGCTGGAAGACTGTCAGTAGAACACCATACTATATCTGCCAAGACAGGACTTGCCATGGGCATATATATGTAAGACTCGACGTCGCACATCAGTCCAGGATATCCTACGCGAACGGGATTAGCACGTCAAACATCACGTCTCACCAAGCATTCACTCACTGTTCCAATACCAGTTGCCTCCGAAGCCACCTGCAGGATCCACAAACAGTATGTCATCTGGCTTGAAGCCCGATTTAATCAAGTTGATGGCAAACAGTATACCTCCGTATCCAGCCCCAACGATGACAACCATGACATGGCCTTCATCATCGACGACTTGTGACACGGGCGTGTTTGTTTCGACCCACGGATCTTGGTTCAGATGTGTCTTATTCGATCTAAGGTCAAGGTACTGGGCCATTCCCTTCCCCGTGGTTCGTTTACTGCGTTCCTGAGCATATTTGTCGTTGATGGAACTTTCCTCTGCCTTTCGAGCACCATTGAGGTCGGGTGCTGGAACATTGCTATTGACTGCCATGCTGATCTGCTTGAGTGGCGTGTCTTGGCAGGATCAACTTTCTGGAAATTGTCAATTGCAGAGAACAAGAGCGTGAGGGCGGCAGGAAGTCGACAATGTCTCGTATTTGACAAATTTGGAGAGATCAGGAGATGCGCAAGAGAAGATGTACATGCCGTTTTGTAGGTCCGAGGGCAAGCTATCTGTCGATGTTCTAAAGGCCAATCCACTACAGGAAATGATCCGATTGCAATGTCGACGAGTACGAGCTGAACGAACGAGCGAGGGAAAGCCCCACAGAACCTAGTTGTCCACGGTCGGAATTAGAATCAGGAGCGTAATGCATAAGAAGATGTCTGTGTAGCCGAATCAGCTATGTAGTATGTATACCTTATGCATTTGTCGGCAACGTCTTCTCCGTTGTGGCGCGACACAAACTTCCACCTAGTATAACTCATGACTTGACTCGACGTTGAATCATAAGGCAGCGTGCACGAAACGAGGTAAACCCTCGTCGATACAACGACCCACTTCGTCCTGGTCTACCTAACGGAACAAGTCCCGGGCTCCTGCTGGCTATGGGAGAGTTGCCTGCGAGCTATCTCATCGTAGCCGATTGCTGGCAATGAGGAAACCGAGAAAGACGATCAAAGTCAAAATTGCATTCAGTCTTATACACATCGAATTCCCACGGAAAGCATCGCTCAACGAAGCCCGACGATTAGTATCGGTAAGAGGGTGCACTTTGGTGTCGTCTTGTGAGAAGTCACTCTGACCATCAAAGTGCATGTATTGACTTGCCTGCTCATACGGGAGGGAATCCTCAGATCCGTGCACTTATCACTTACCAGCTTACATCGACAAGCCCGCTGCATCAGAAGTATGCTGATCTTTTTGATCATTACTGTCGGCTGTTGCGACCACCCCAAATCACCAACACATCAGGCCGTCCGTAGACAAACAGTGAAATGCATCGTCCGATCTGAGCACGTCGTCCGGTCACTCCTTTCCCAGCAGCCCACTTACGCCATCGCCCTCTTGCAAGGACCTTGACTTCTCGACAGGCTGACCTCGAGGAAGCGACTGTTACTCTCTCGCGAAGTATACTGAGCTAGTCTCATTGGCCTTGAGAAGAAAGCTCCACTTTTGATCGCKAACATGTGTGGGGGAAGATGGACAGAGTCAGGGTGCCAAATCATGCACGTTCRGCTGCGGCAATTACCAGTGAGCGTATACTCACGGATAGCGTAGTATTGACCTGAAATCTACTTTCCGCTGTACTGCAGTCATACGCAGGAGAAAGAGACCGCCACAGGGCAACGCTCATGGAAGCGTTAGTCGGAATCCCATGCAACGAAGCGTGGGCTTCTGCTGGCTAGAAGGGGTTGGTGTTGTGAATGGCAGCGTCGGTGGTGGTATCATTAGCGGTATATTACATTAAAGGTCGTCTGAGTTCATTCATTCAAGAAGCGAAGCCGACCTTTCTCGTGACAGTGTTGGTCGTGCCAGCTGCCATGTCCTCGAGCATCCGATCCAGACCTTCGACATCCAAGCCGCCTGCGTCGAGCATATGCTGATCTCTCATGGCTTCGGCCGGCCGTTCATCGATTTGACGCTGAAATAAGTTTCTTGCGGGTTTGTCTGGCCGCTGCGTCTGCAGCACCACTGCGCGGTGTTCCGCTGAGACGAGTAGATCTCGCTGTGTGTTCATCTGTCCAAGACCAGCGCTTCCCTTGACCGAGAATTGAGAAATGGATGAGATAGTCTCGTTGGATAAACTGATGTCGGTGATGTGAGAAAGACCAGGCGCGTGTAGGGATCCAAACCCACCACCGGAGCTTGTGCTTCGCTGCCAGAATGCTTGTGTGCTAGTGATGGAGTAGACCTCGCCACCATACCAAATGGCGACACTCTCGTCGGCCTGGCCGATGCGTGGGTTGTTGAGCTGCACTGTAATTCCCCCACTGGGAGCTACACCAGGTGCTCTCACTGCGCCGGTAAAGAGCTGCTCGGCTTTTGTTTTACGGGTGTTCGGAGTCATTGGCGCCAATTTGGAGACACCCCGTTTGCTTTTGCTTGGCTCCGTCTGCTCTGTCGAGCTTGACGTGCCGAGAAAGCCGCGAAGAGCAAAGTCTTCGACTTGTTTTCCAGTCTGAGACGAGTTCACATCCCAGATACCCCACTCCCCGTCCTCCTGCAACACGAGGATGCCTTTGCCGGCGAGGACCCACTCGGCACCCAAGATCTTCTTCCGTCGAGTCAATGTTGGGTCAAGGTCGGGTGTGTCTTTTGGGATGTGATGTGAGGTATGGTAGGCCATGATCCAATCTCCGGCCTGTGTTGAACTGCGAGGTTTGTGTAGGTCGAAAATGCGAGCCGCGCCTGACGTGTCTGTAAGAAGAAGCTGGCCCAGTCGGGAGGAAGGATGAAAAGAGATGCCAACAGCGGAAGATGACAGTGGGGTCTTCCGCACGAGTGTATTCTCACTGCACACCAGCTTATTCGTCTTGACGGATACAGCCCAGATGCTCAGTGTTCGAGAGGCAGTCGCAATCAGCAACTGGTCGTCCAAACTTTGGAGTGGTCCGGAGTGGGAACGCGGGCGAGTTTCGTCTGCAGGAAGGAATTTGATGGCCAGACTGGCGGGAATCGGAGTGCCACGGGCTGTCAGCTCCACGGCCGAACGATAGATATTATCGGCAACACTGGCTTCATTGGCGGCGGATGGTGGTGTCAGAGGAAGCTGAAGGATTTGGCAACTGCCATCGGCCAGTGCCACAGCTACAATGGCCATCTTCTTCAAAAGGGTGGGTGTGGACGGCGAGGAATGTAGAACGGGAAGCTCGAGATGCAGCACCGCGCAGCCATCAGGACGAGAGGCATCGCGCCCGAGGACAATATCCAACGTGTGAATGATATGAGGACAGGGACAGTCGGGATCTAGCTCCTCCTCCTCCGCCTCCCACTCATCTCCATCTTGCGCATCGTCGGTGTCGTCGATGAGTATCATCTCGTCGTGCTTGACTCCATTCGATTTTGGTGGCATCGACGGCCCTCTCCGCCGGCGTCCACCGCGCCAGAGCAGGCGCAATCCATGGTCATGGGCGTAGATGATCAGAGTGGAGCCGTTGGGAGCGAGGAGCGGGTAGATGCGCGCGGCGTGGATGCGATGGGGGAGTTCGTAGCTGTCGTTGTGGTCAGTCACGAATGTGAGTGAGATGAGATGACATGTTCATCGGGTCCGTCAACAACAGTGGCCTACCTACCTCAGGTGAAGCTTATGTCCGCGCTTGGACACTCGTGGCGGATCCATCGCTGAACCGAACGGTGATGTGATGTTGTGTTGTTCAGGGATCGACGCTGGAAATGTTTCGACGCGCTTGCTCCGATGAAAGCGCGACTGGCGCCGTACGTGTTTGTGGAACTTCAATTCACATGATGAAATATTTCCATTGTTTGATGAATCCTCCCAACATCCGTGGATACCCGACACGCAGGCTATCAGCAGAAAAGATGCTGCCGGGTGTCGACTGCACCCCAAACACCAATGGCCGCAGTCACGTCCCTCGGCGTTCACACCCCGGTGGCTTTGCCGTACCTCATCGCAGAGGGCATCTTACCCAAGGATCCCACCCCCAACCTTTACCAGTGGGAGACGTACGTGATCGAGGATGAAGATGTCCAATCAGAAGAAGAATTGCTCGCCACCAAGGATGCCGTTGTCTGGTCTCAAGGCAAATTCATTCGCAATGTCTACAGATTCCACCTCGAAGGCCAGGACGTGATTCAGGCCGTCTTGACCAAATTCCCTGCTTCTTCCTCCATACCACAGGATCAATCTTCACCCAAGACTCAGCATGCTCGGCGTGCTTCACATCAAGTTTCCCGTAACTTGCGACAGGAAGTACACTCTCTCAAAGACAGCAACCATCAAACACATTCATCTCCACCTTCAAGTCCACACTTGGCAAGAGCTCTGGTTGTCTTTTTGAAGACTAAAGCTCATATTTACTTCCTTCAAGGCGGCCATCACATTGTTGACCTGCCATTTGAGATTGAGCGCGCATTCCCTGCCCCTCGAGGCCTGCTTCTACAACGAAAGAGAACGTCCCCAAATTCTCTGCCGCCAACACCCCGGCTGCCAGCAGCGCCGCCGAACTCGTTCTTTTCATCTCAGACAAATGCTCGCATGACCACCTCTTACCTGAGTTCGCCGACGTTGCTGAAAAGTTTTGCTGTCACACGCCCAATCCAACCAAGCCCTCTCGGCGGCGACTCGAAGCTGGAAGCTCTCTTTCAAACTCTCACCGTACCGCCAGGTAATCGCGGAGACGACGATGTTACGAACTTGTACTCTCTCAGCGGGCCCTTGTCGGACTTGGGAGTTGTGACCACCTCGCTCCAGCATCAAAAACCTAAAGCGTCTGGGCGAGCAGGCGGTCTCAACGTCGAATTCGAGGGCCTTGATCCTGCGGAAAAGATCGTCTACTTCTCTTCCGAGGATGAACTTAGCCGGTCCCCCTCCGAGACAGGATCCTTGATCCTACTCGTGACTTTGAACATGGACATCCACACTGTGACACTCTGGCATGCATGGTACATCAACGAGAAATCCCTCCGAGACCTTCTCAAGCAACGAGCGGACCAAAAGTCTGCAAAGGCTAGGCGGAGAAGCTCGTTCGTAAGCACTGCTCCCACGGGATCAGCAACACCAGGTGTACGACGTCGGGACGGAACGCGAGAAAGCTTTGCAGGCGCAGGTACGCTGCACCTCCCCGGCGAATCAATAGGATCTCAAGGTAACGTAACCGCACGAAAGCCCACTCGACAGGAAGAAGAGGAAGTCATGGCTTCCCAGATGGATCCCGACTATTTGCCAGCGGGAGCGCAGCCTCCTGTAAGGGAGAATCGAAGGATCAGCTCAATGAACATAGATGTTCGGGCCAGTCAAATGACCGTCAATGCTAGTTTCGGCGGTACAGGAGGCCGGCGCGCTACGTCCTTTGGTGGACCAGCCGAGCGCCGATCAATCAGTCGCAGGAAAAGTCGAGGGTCTACCCCGGGAAGCGCATACGGTCGGAGCATCGGAGGGGAGGACGATTCCATGGATCTGGACAGCACCATCGAGCTCGACGACGAAGAAAGCACCGATGGCATCTTGCGACACATTAGAGCAACATTCGAAGCCTCTGGTGCAGATGGTCTATTCGGCAGCTCTGATGAGGGATTCAAGCGCGAGCTGGTGGTCAGGAAGATCTGCTCATACCCCGTCGGTTCTTTGGCGTCCTCGCGCGGATCAGGCACCAATCATGTTCGTCCGCCCAAGATCGTCACGCTCTCGGAACCGGCGACGATACATGGAGCTAGCGATCCCAGGATCAAGATATACCTCCAAGACCCCCAGAGCAGCGAGGTCCAGATTTTGACACTCAAGATCAAGCTACGACGCCTATGGCCGGAACTAAAGGACTCGCAGAATGTCCAAATACCATTGTTGACCGGGGAGTCGCGGCTTGAGCGCTGCGGAGACATTTGTCAGTTGCAAGACGGTAAAATGCGAGCGGTGGTGCTTGACGATCGCGGACTGCAGATCTGTCTGGACGACCAAGACCTATGCCCTCTCCCGACTGCGGCACCATATCGAGCGCACGACCCTCTCCCTCTACTATCCGTGTCGAGTAATGTGGACCATGATGTTGGCAGGAATCGATTGTTGGACCCTCCAATGGGCTTGTCTATGCAGCACACCGGACCTAGAGGTCGCTTTGATTACGTTGGACCAGACGGTACTCACCATCGCAGAGAAGTGCAGCTGAGACCCTCAAATATCCTCGTCGACGAAACGCTTTCCCTGTGCGAGATCATCCTACCAAGATATCAAGCCAGAGCCGTCCGCAAGACTTGGTGCAAAGCGCACGCGTGGCTTCGATCCCATCCAGAGAGCCAGGTATCCACCGCGGAAGACGCCGAATCTGTTGCGTTTGCTGCAACGATTTTCACATTCGTAGTGGGTCTGATCGATGCCAAAGCTCGGGCTGCCCTGAGCATTTCCAAAGTGGCCGCTGGGAAACAGACCCAGCGTTCGCGGAGCAGGCAGCACCAGGAGCAGCGACAGAGTCGTATATTTGGGACAAATACCTGGTCTTGGATGCCACAACAGCGAGCTTCGGTCCAGCGATCGCCCAGGGGCGATGACAGAAGAAAGGATCAGTTGCTGATGATTGCGGCAGCTCTCGCAGACGATCTTGTGGGAGCAGAAGAACGCAAGCAGTCTCCATCTACTGGAGCTCTGTCAGCTGTGAAGCTAATGCTTGCTCTACACATTTTCCGCGAGGAGAAGAAGCTGTGCGCATTGTCAATTGAAACCGAGCTTCTAGCACCAATCATTGCCCAACTAGGTTCCTGGCTCGGATTGGACGAGTGGGGTCACAGAAAAGGTACATACTACGAGCTCGAGGGAGCTGGCGAGACGAGGTGGGCATACCTGAAATCCCAATCAGTATATCCACCCAAGATGGGATTCCTTGAGCAACCCATTGGCGTGTTCGAATGGTTCGAGAGTGTGCTGAAGGCAGGCGAAGGCGGGAATGCCCCAGAGTATCCCCAACTCGTAGCCGTGGCCCAAATCGGTTCAGACGCCCATGTACCAAAGACCATCAAAGTGGTTGCAAAGGCGATGACACCTCGGATTGCTGCCCTTTCCGACGTACTGGCTGCTACAAACGGCTTGACTACTGCGCCGACGGAGACGGTGGAGAAACTTGCTCAGTCTAATCTATCTGTTGAGACTCTGGATACATTTCCCGAGTCCATCGCTGCGCCGTTCAAAGAGGTCATTGCACGCTGCGAGAAGCAACCGCCAACGACGTGGTCGAAAAACCTGCTGCGGCTTGTTGGTCGAGAAGATTTGATCATTGGAACTCGCAGTGCTGGACTTGGGGATCCACCTTTGCGGTCCGGCCGCCGTGCTCGCGACATGCAAACGGCCAGCAATGCATTGGACCACACTCTCATCACATTGAAGACGAAAGAGGCCGACCGACATTCCATCTCTCAGCTCATATTTAGCGAGGACCGAAGAATGGTTGACGCCACCATCATGATGCATTTCAGCATGGTGCAGATAGGGCAATGCATCCGACAGCCTGATTGGGATGAGCAGACACACTTTGAGCAGCAACGACGGGTCATGCAGTGGGTGAGCGTTCGCATGATTGCTCTCCCTGCTGGTGATGGCATGCTTCATTACGACAGCCAGACGCCACTGCTGACGGAGAAGTATCATCTACCAGGCTTCACCACATCATGTCTCATGCAGCCCATGAACCACCATCTCACCATTGATCGCACCGGCTTGACAGAGGAGAAGGTCAACTGGGCCTATTTCCATGCCGGTGTATCTTCCGGCCTACGTATCTCGCGGAACGTAACCGGGATCGACACATCTTGGATCGCATTCAACAAGCCCGCAGAGTTGACCAATCGTCACGCGGGGCTTCTGCTCGCTCTTGGACTGGGTGGGCATCTCCGGAACATGGCCAAGTGGCTCTCCTTCAAGTATCTCACGCCAAAGCATACGATGACCTCAGTCGGGCTACTGCTCGGTCTTTCAGCGTCGTACATTGGCAGCATGGATGGACTAATCACCCGTATGTTGTCTGTACACATTACCAGAATGTTGCCCGCTGGAGCTGCGGAGCTGAATGTCTCTCCCGCGACGCAGACTGCTGGTTTGATGGGAATTGGCTTGCTATACTACAGCACCCAGCATCGGCGCATGAGCGAAATCATGCTCTCCGAGTTGGAATACATGGAAGTCGAGGACCCAGACAGCGGCCCAGACCAACTTCGAGATGAGTCCTACCGCCTTGCGGCAGGATACGCCCTTGGCTTGATTAATCTTGCCAAAGGCAAGGACCTGCGTGGTCTTCACGGCATGCAGCTTCCCGAGCGCCTCCTCGCAGTAGCAGTCGGCCCTCGTCCCATTGATGCGGTCCACGTATTCGACCGTGCCACCGCCGGCGCAGTCATAGCCCTCGCTCTGGTATACRTGAAGACCAACGACAAATCCATCGCTCGCAAGATCGATATCCCAGACACCGAAGCGCAGTTCGATCACGTTCGACCCGACGTCTTACTTCTCCGCGCCATGGCCAAACACATTGTTCTTTGGGATGGCATTGTTGCTCGTGGTCCAGACGAAAACTCATCATCGCAAGGCTGGATCCAAGACAACCTACCAGCATGTTATCGCAAGCGGTCCAAAGCCATCATGGATCAAATGGCTCGCAAACGCACCATTGACAGTGCGCATATACCTCTCTTCAATGTCTTCACTGGTCTCGCATGGGCATTGGCATTGAAGTACGCCGGATCTGGGTCACTTGTCGCCAGAGATGAGATATTGGAAGTCCTCAAGTTCTTCCACGCCCTTAATCAAGGCGCGGAGGCTTTCTACTTCGATGCGAAACTCGGCCGAGCAAGTCTCCGGCGCTGTATGGACGTTTTGGCCCTCTGCGCGGCTATTGTAATGGCAGGTACAGGCGATCTAGAGACGTTTCGCTTTTTGCGTCGTATGCATGGGCGTACGGACGCTGATACCCTGTATGGCTCTCATTTCGCCGCCCACTTGGCCATTGGCGCACTTTTCCTGGCAGGCGGTACCATGACATTTGGGACCAGTGACCTTGCGGTTGCCAGTCTGATGATAGCTTTCTACCCCCTCTTCCCAACGGATGTCCATGACAATCGCGTGCATTTGCAGGCTTTCAGGCATCTGTGGGTATTCGCCGCCGAGGGGAGATGTCTGGTCGTGGAGGATGTCGATACTCAGAGACCTGTTCAGGTGGAGATCCTGCTTGCGATGAAAGATGGCAGTCAACGGAGAATGCGAGCGCCTTGTATTCTACCAGACCTGGAAACCATCAAGAATGTACGGCTAGATGATGGGCGATACTGGCCCGTCACGCTAGATTTCGAGGGCAATGCTGCGCATGTCGAGGCGTTCCGACGCGATCCAAGAGTTGTGGTTAGGCGATGTCCCGCCAAGGAGGCGCACTCTGGAGTGGTGAGTGCGAGTCTTGCAGCGTTGAATGCGCCAGTCACCCCGGGTGTGTCGTGGCATTCGCTGTTCAAGCTCAGAGCACTGGAAGGACTCGACCGGGGTGATGTGGAGAGCTTGTTGCCTGCCGAAGTGCACAGTCGGGTATATGTTGATGGAAATGTTACGGGTGTAGGGGAGAGGTTGGCGTTGCAGAGGATCGCCAAGGAGGGCAGACGGACTGATGAGCTGTGGAACCTGAGGCTGTTGTTCGCGTGGGCTGAAAGAGAGAGGATCCGGCAGGGAGATGGGAAGCTGAGGTGGATTGGAGAGGAGGTAGTGGAGGGTCTCAGGAGAATCATTGCAGAAAGAGGGTCGCATTAGCATGGTGTGTGGTGACGATATTAGTGAGGCGTTTGTGGGGACCTGATTGAGCCGGTCGTGATGAGAAAGTGGCTGCATATACAGATATGTATACATGCGTGATAGCAGCACTCTGTGCTCTACAGCATACTTCCGCGCCTCTTCTGATGGTATCATTTTGTACATATAAGTACACCTGCTGTCTTGCATCGCTCCGCCTTTGCGTCCAGCAATTCGTGGTGGGCGGACTTGCAATGAATGTCTCGCTGAACACCATCTTTTTCCCCGCCCTCACCACTACCTCTTAGGCAACAGGGTCTGAAATATCTTCCTGAAATGGTTCACATTTCACGTACTCACTTCTGCTCCTTGCCTCCCTTTGCACTCTTCCCCGCCTCTGCCTTCTTTCCCTTCTTTCCCTCCGCCGGCTGCCCAAAGCCTCCGATCATATCCATTAAACTCTCCTCCTCCTTCAGCCTCGCCGCCTCGATTTCCTCCTCTCCGGCCTCGGCATCCAGCGCCGCCGCCGCAGCATCAAAACCCCTTCCAAATCGCATTCGAAAGCGCTTTAGACGTCCCGCTTCATCTTCCTCGATGTTGAGTAATTTCTGACTGCTGGGATTCCAGAGCGGGTTATTTCGTGTGTCTTTTATTGAGCGGTAGATGGGTGCTGGAGATGTGGTGCGGTGGGTAAAGGTGCTGCCGTCGGAGAGGGTGATTAACTGGGTGAATGTGTAGGGTCTTTTGGGTCGGCGCAAGAGGGATGCGTGTCGGATKTGATGGGTGCATGAGGCGCAGAGGTTGCTTGCTTGTGGACGCGCCGTGGGGAGGAGCATTGTGAGGTTTGTGGTGTGTGTGTTGTTGGGTGGATGGATGGAGATGCAGCAGCCCAGGACTACCTATCTGTGGGACGTGACACTTTGATGATATTGATTCAGCTGGGCCATCAATTGCTTCAATAGGACTTCCACACTGCGGGCTGTCTCCCCCGTCATTGGTCGAGGGTTGTCGAAGCATCAATGGATGTCATGTCATTCATTCACCTTCCAACACACACACCTTCCACATCCAGCTCAGTGCACTGTTTGACTTCCGATCGATTCTCTGGCACCTTCAATGCCCGCTCGCCCGGGTCTTGCTGCCCGCCGCTTCTATCGCACTTTCTACGACTGGACCCTCCTCACCATTGATGCTGGTGGAAGATCGAAAAGACATGCTCTGCACACGTCCAGCCGAGCGAGCATCGAGGGCAATGGCAATGGAGCGAGTCGGCCGCGCCACCAACACCAACCATCGGGGCTCGAAGCAGCAACATCACGCGGGAATGGCACGACGCGAGATGTAAACGTGGAAAGCAAAAGGGTAGATGTCGCCGAGAGAAGACGAGGATATCGCCTTTTCAATCCGCACTCCAGCTCTGATTCGGCAGTGCGGCCTGCCACGCCGGACAAGTACCTCCGCCACAACGTCCCTGGCTCCTTTACCAAGCGCCCCGTGCAGTCTCCGTTGGAAAAGGCGTTCAGCAGCTTTGAGGCGCGCGAGCACGTCGTGCGCTACCGCTCGCCCGATGCCATTCTTCTCGAATTTGCAATGCCTGGCGAGGGATTGGCTCTCGCGCAATCCCGATGGGGGCCCGGCTTGGAGTCCCTTCATCAGCGCACGGGGGCGCGTGTTGAAGTTCAGGCCATATCTGTGCCGATCAAGGGCAGCTCCGGCGCTCGCATACATTCCGTCTTGATCTCGGGCACATTGGCTCAGGCAGCAGTCGTGCTAGAAATCCTTCTGTATCGTTCTGCCTTGGCTTCCCGTTCTCAAGAAGCAGCACCTTCGGCCTCCATGTCGCCGTGGCAGCTTTTAATTCGCGCCCATGAAGGATCGCAGGTCGTTGCCGAGATGAGTATGCTGGAGGAGCATTGGGTTTCGATCGCTCATCTGAAGGCCTGGGCCAGAGCCGCCATGGACAGCGGCTTGGCATTGGAACTTGGTCCGCCAGAGTCGCGACCCAGCAAGGACAGCTCTAATCAGCTCGCTCCCGCAAGATCCTTCCATTTCAAAGGGCCGCTAAAATCTGTACAGCGCTTCCGCACTGAGCTCCAGGCTGCCGTCAAGAGTGTCAAGAATCATGTGCCGCCAAAAAATAGCCTCTCATCTGCGGCAGGGAATAGGGAGCTGAAGCAACCTTCCCCTCCTGCAATCCCTGGCACCATCAATGATATGCCCGGCGCTGAAGTGGCCGCAGTCGTCAAAGATACTGTCCAAAACACACTGGCTGTCAACAATTCGGCTACTCCAACCYCACGGAATCTAGACGCGACACAATCGAGCGAAACACCGATGAGGGGCGTCATCACCATCGATGGCAAGGATGTGTTGCAGCCTGCTGTCAGAGATGCTGTATGGTGTGACATTGCGCAGCCCCCATCTGGTGTGATCATTTGTCGCCAAAGTACCCCAAGCCCAGGAGTATGCTGCTGGCGCGTGGAAATTGTTGGACCCTCAGCCGCAGTCACCACCGCCCGAGTCCAAATAATGGCCGCGGTCGATAATTTGTGTCGTCGCTTGCAACTGAAGAAATTCACTGTAACATACGATGAGTCGCTGAAATACAGATATTTGCTCACTATTACCGGCAAGGATGCAGTGAGGATCAGGAGTGTGAGCAAAAACGGAGTTTCATGGCGGTCCTCTTTACCACATGAAATCCGTAGACGCGGCGTTAGAGTCATTCGATCATCCCCTGATATCGAGCCTTGGCAGATCAGATTTGAAGTCGAGCCGCAATTTTTCAACCAAGTCGCGGAAGGGATGGAGGGTATTATCGGAGAGGTTGGTGTAAAATCAGGTGCTAGAGATTACAAGACTTCCTGGACTTTGGATACTCTTGATGAGGTGCTTCCCGCCAGCGGACGTGCACCCGTGTTATTGGAGCGAAGTGGCCCAGCTAACCAGGCGAGCAATTCGGCATCAACAGCGAGAGAAACTGCGGTAGACGGCCACCGAGCTGCTACGCCTAGGGATGCCGCAGCCGAGGCGACGGTTCCAAAGAACTTGACTGATCCGCACTCGCAGCGATCAGGCACCGCAGCGATCGCAAACCCCGATGAGCATGTTCATGGACAAGGCAAGGAGGTCCAAAGCCAACGGCCGGGCATAACCCTCGAGGAGCAGAGACAAATTGCGGAGAATGTCCGCGTTGCTCTGCGATCACTCACACACCCAGTCGTGTTGATTACAACTCGAACCAGTGCTAGAGAGGGGAGATCTCTATTGCCGCACAAGTGCGCGCGTGGAGTAACAGTATCCAGCTTCAACACCGTGACGCTTGACCCGCAGCCGGTTGTCTCGTTCAATCTCAAGATTCCAAGTCGCAGCTGGGACGCGATGTGCCAATCCAACAAGCTCTGTGTTCACTTACTTGAGGCGTCGAGCCGCGGGGCTGCCGTGGCTGATACGTTCACAAAGCCTCATGACAGACCGGAGATGGGTTTCGAAGAACTTCGTAAGTTGGGCCTCAAGGTCTATGCCGACAATTGGCGCAAAGTGCCTATGATCTTGGATCCGCGGGGAGGAGTGATTGCACGTTTCGAAGCTGTTCTGCTGCCCGCTAAATGCGTGACTGTCGGGGACCACGTTGTTGTGCTGGCTGAGATTACCAAGGTGGCTTCAGAAATTGAAGAAGCGGAAGAGTGTGATGGATTGGCATACGCGAGAAGAGGGTACCGAGCGCCTGGCAAAGAACTCATTCCCGCCGAGATTCTTTCTACCGATGAAGCTGCCGCGAACGATCCTCTATCATTGGGGGCAGATGAGCCTTCCGATCAATCTTACGTGCCGTTGGTAAACCTCATTGATGAGGTCGAGACTTCTGACCCTCATGCGTTCTTTGCTCTCGGTGATGATCCCATCTTCAATGCACTGCGCGCGACCAAAGATGCCGCGGAGTCTGGAAAGGACGTTGACATCTACGCCGCCATGGCCATGGAAGACGATGGCTTTGACGACGATACGTTACCTGAGCAGGGGCGCTCTGCTAGYGTACGGCCAAGTTCTAGGAATCATGCACGAAAGAGATCAGGCCAGCCGGAACACCACACCGTGCGCAGACTCGTTCGAGCTGGAGACGGCAGCTTGACCCCTAATGGGACCCCTAATGGGGGAATCTCACCCGGCAAACGAGCATTCTCCATACTCACCAAGTATCCCGCTTTGATTCGCGGCTTTTCATCGACATCGACGGCGCAGCGTGGAGTCGATGACGACCATGACTTGGTAGACCCCACTGCAAAGACTACGACGGTCGCCGATTACCTCGGAGTTCCTGACGACAATAAACCCTATCATACACGCCGTGTTCGCCGGCTCGTACGCTTCCAAAAAGAAATTCGCGATGCCGAGCAACGTTTGGAAAGGGAGCACTTGAGTGAAGCGGAAGCCACCGCTTTGAAGGAAACAATTGCGTACCAGGAACGGACCATCGCAAGAAAACTTGCCTGGAACGCCGCGATTGATCTGCGAGTCATGCTTGACAAAGGCAACGCGAGGGTCGAATTCAAGCGTGCGCAGTGGTTGGAGAGTGCGGTTGAGAAGGGACTAAATGTTCTACTGGAGGATGCCAAGAGTCTCCGGCGAAAGCGGGAAGAAGGCAAGGTGAATGCAGAGCAGTATGAATTTTTGAAGCAGAAATTGGCAGGCGACCATGCAGTGCTTCAGACTGAGTTGATGAGGTTGAGAGAGGTTGCTGATGAAGATCAAGATGGCGGTGATTGAGTAGTAGAGCAGGCTTGTATGATGAACGATTTGCTGTCAAAGAGGCAGCACAGCTCCAAGAGATGTATATTGTTGTTGGCATGCACGGAGCACGTGAAACTCATGCCATGCGACGCCATGGCTGTTGTCGTCGTTGGCGTCGTCGTCCGCCAGGTCTGCGCCCATCACACAAGCATCGCAGAATTCTGAAACGGGCTGAGATCATCCACACCTTGCCAAGAATCCTGGTCGCTGACGTCGTTTGGTGATGGAAATGACAGGGATTCCAGGATTTTGTGCCTGCACACCGAAAGCACTGATGCTTTACGCTATCTTGCTCCTTGTTGCTCTGACGTCGTTGCGTGATGGATGATGTAGCCAGCTGCTTGTTGTGAGTTGATTAATTTTCAAAACGGTGCGGCAGCGTAGTACATATATCATTTGCACGTACCCAAGTAAACTCAACTACATTGCATTTACCCTCGAACAAACCCCTCTGCAAGAAGCAAATTTAAACAAGTCCATCTCATTCATCAAAACAAGACAATTCCAACATGGCTCGCACGCGTCAAACCACCACCAAGCCATCCCTCCTCTCCCGTTTGGCAGGCAAGAAGACAACAACCACAACCACCAAACAGTCCCGGAACCCTTTGACCGGCAAGACCAAGACCACATCCACCACACACACTACTGGAACCACTGCCACCCACGGCACACATGCCACCCACACCCACTCCCATGGAACCCGCGGCGCAACTGCGAACGCAGCCGGAACGCATCACACGCAGAAGAGAAAGGTCACAATGGGCGACAAATTGAGCGGAGCCGTGATGAAGCTCAACGGTACTCTGACGAGAAGACCTGGAAAGAAGGTTTGTTCCTCGTACTCTCCAATTCGTAGCTTGCGTTGTACTGATTGTTATTTCCTTAGGCTGCCGGCACAAGACGCATGCACGGAACTGATGGCCGTGGCTCGCACCATGTGGTTGTCTAAAAGAAATCCATCCCTCATCGGAGGATCAGAGATTTGAGTTATGATGTTTGATGAACTGAATGAGTTTTCAATGTACGATGAGTTGGAAAGTAGCGTGCGTGCTTTTGGTTTGAGATACCCTTTTCTTCTCGACGAGCGAGCATTTGCATGTAGCAGATTTGATGAATGTATTTGGTCACTTGGTTACAACTCGCTGCATACTGTCGAAAGTACTAGGATCCGTGTTACGACATTGCTATACTGCTCACCAACGTAATCTGGGGATACTTGCCAAAAGCATGGGAATGTGAAATCTGATACTAGGTAGTGTTGGAGCTGGGGTTGGGGAAATCGTTCTCCAACGACCTACGATGTTTCCGGACTTTTGGGTATGCTGTTGGTAATTCTAGACGGTTTGCAAGGCTTTCAAACGTTTCTATCAATCTACCTACTGGGCTGGAACAATTTTGCTTCGAGTCCCAGCAGTTTGCGCTGAAAATAGCGCAATGTTTGAAGCGAAGACCGAGAACACTGTTTGTTGGGCTTGGACCCTACTGATGTTGCATATCTTGATGGTCCCATCAGACATGCTTTAGCAGCCATCTTGGTGACAGAGCACGTCCGTGGGCTGATGAAATCACAGGTGAAGAGATGCTCCACCATTCGTAGTAAGCATATCTCCTCCAACCGCTCTCTTCAAGGTAGGTGTCCCTTCAAGGTAGGTATACACCCCCGGCCATGACAAGATTCATCTGTGTGAACCTAGCCTTGTACACTGGCGACTTCTTCGTCAGGAATGCCGAGATCTGATCCGGACTGACCACGACATCCTTCTTGCCCTTCTTTCCTCCCGTCGCCGCACCAGTAGCAGATGCACCGCCTGCGCCGCTCACAGTCGCCCCATCAATGACTCTTGTAGAAGTCGTCGCGGTGGTGGCGCCCGTCTCGCCCAGTATCTTGCCCTCCCCACTTTCCGCGACATCCCAGACCCTCACAGTCCCATCTGCACCTGCGGAAACAAGGACCGTGCACTCAACACTCCAGTCCAGACTCCAGATTCCTCCTCTCCCATGACCCCTCATTCTCTTGAGGAGCCTGCCTGTTGGAATGTCCCACACCAAAATCTCCCCTCTATCGTCACCACTAGCAATAGTCTTCCCCTTGCTTGCAACACTCACACTCGTGACGTTGCCCGTGTGGCCTGTGAAGATTCTCACGGCCGAGCCTCGCTGCACATCCCATACTCTCACCGTCTTGTCACCGCCACTGGAGCCCGTCACAACGTATGCATTGTTGGGGTGCCACGCCACACATTCCACATCTGAATCATGGCCAACAAAGAGACGCAACGGTGCGATCTGCGGGGTACTCCAGAGGCGCGCGGAACGATCTGCGGACGCAGACAAGAAGTAGTGGCCGGACGGCGAGAAACGTACGTCCCAGACAGGTGATGTATGCGAGCGATAGACGACAAGGTTGGTCCACGTGTCGAGCGACCACAGCCGGATTGTGCAGTCTGCGGAGGAGGATAACAAATAGCGTGGTCGAGATGATGTCGTGCTGTTTGAAATGTCCAACGACGGGGAAAATGACAGCGCGTAGACTGGTCCAGCGTGACCGACTAGGCGTCGCGAAGAGGATGCTTGATAAGCGGATGGATCCGTGGGTGAAGTGAGGACGTGATTCTCAAGTGACCAGACGCGGATGTACGACTCTGCCATACCCGCAGCCACGAGCTTATTGTCGCCTGAAAATTCGATGCAGTTTATGCTGTCGAAGGTGTTGTGGAACGTGTACATGGTGACGCTGACCCCCGGTCCCACGCCGCCTGTCTTCTGCTCGATCCTGAATCGGTCGCGGTTCTCTTTCAAGCGCTGCACCTCCATTGCGACATCTCGAGCGGTCGAAGGTGGAAATGGGAGATAGCCACCTGGTGGTCCATCGTCGACGGGTTCGTCCTTGATTCGTTGCTCGAACTCCTCGACCAGCGAATTCTGCCCTGGCGCGGGCGGATGAGACGCATCGTGATCTTGCAGCTCAGCTTTGACGTCTTCCATCAAATCAGCCTCTATTGGTGGTCGTGCAAGGTAGACTCTTGTTAGTATGTTGGTGGTCGATTCCAGGTTTGCAGACCCTGGATTATGGCCAGGAATTCCTTCGTCTTCGGCAGGAACATCCTGAGAGTCTCCACGCTGCGCGAGAAGCCTCGCCAAGCTTTGCTCCTCGCCGCCCGTAGCGCGATCAACCGGTTTGATGTCCATGTGTGCTGTAACGATGCTCATTACAATCTTCCCGCCCTTTTCTTCGTTGGCCTCCAAAAAAGTAATGAGAGTTGAGTAGGCCATTTTGGTCACGGTAARGCGGTACTTGTTGTTCAAGTACAGCTGCGCAGTCTCGTTTGACTCGACATGTCCCACGTCGTAGATCTTGGCCATGGCGCGAAGATCATCGGAGTGTTCCTGCTCAAAGGGCTCCCGCGAAGCCTGGAAGAATTCTTGTGCTTCTCGAGAAAAATGGTCGGCCACACATTGCAGATACGAATAGACAAATAATGGCCATAGCAAACGCTTCAGCTCGGGTTTGTAAATGTCCAGTACGCTGTCGACCCAATCTCGAGTGAGATCAAATGCACGCGCGTACTTTTTGCCGCCCAGATCCTCCACCGACTGGCGCACTRGGTTTCCATTCGAGTCCGCGTTTGCACTTTCCTTCCGCAGCGTCGCCTCAGTTTGATTGTAACCTTTCTTCGAGAGGTATTCAAGCACCTGCGGAATCATAGATTTCTCATCAGCCATGATTTCTTGGTGGTTGTTGGATGATGCATGCAAGTAGTGAAGTGGGGAAGTGAAGTTATCAAGATCAGGAGACACATGTGGTCCTCCGTGCACCGCGAAATACGCCTATTTATCAGGCGACAACTCCGCTACCTTAGTGTTCACCATTGCCAGAGTATTAGAGGAGGCAGGGTTTGCGCGTTGTCGGGTGGTAATGGAAGGCACGCGCTTATGATACCGTGTCGACGTGAAGATGAATGGGACAAGAATCGCCTTCAGGCATCAAAGCTGCGGCCACATGGGCCATCACGAATGCGCTTTCCGCCATTAGAACTCCCGCTCACCTCACGCCTGCAGACCGGCAAGGAATGAATGAATGCGCCGGAGCCGTGGAATCGCGCAAAACAAGCGATGAAAAGACGGGACAACTCACGATTTGATTCAAATTCTGCTGCGAATTGGGTCCCTGGGTACCGGAAGGAGTTGCGACCTGGGCAGTTATGTTGCCTGTGCTCGGAGGTCCGACGCTGCCCGTTCGAGACGACGGCGCTGGCTGTGAAGCCATCTCTATTGTGGGTGATTTCACATCAATTTTGGGAGATGTCGGCTTCAGTATTTGATGGGGATATTCGTGATGATCGAGGACGTCTAAGATGCGTTGATGTAGGAGATTGGATGTGAGACTAGAGTAAGTGCGTGAAGGCGTGAAGTGAAAGGAAGTCGCTCGATTTGGATGTGGGGAAACCTTGTTCACCACTTTCATGTGCGATTCCATGAGTTTCACAATACACTACGGTGCCACGGTCTGAAGAAGGCTACGAGCAGATGGAAGGACTGCGGCACTGATTGAATCTTGGTGGCCTCATCTCGACAGCATCAGACATCGCGATGCCATCTCCATCCACGATCCCGCCTTCGGAGCGCATTCGCGAATTGACCAACATCAACGCTGATGTCGCCGGTCTCCTTACCTCTGCCAGCCATGCCGTCGGCGCACTCACCACCTCGACAGCTTCTGAGAGCATGCCAGATACCGCTGAAGGCCAACGGGAAGCCTTTGTGGCTGCAGCGCAGGAGTTCCTCCACGGTCTCCAGGGCGTCGCTGCACGACTCCGACGTCAGGCAGTGGCGCTGGAGGAAGCGGGAATTATTACACCAGACGCGCTGAGAGAAGAGGGCGTGAGCGTGCGAAATGGTGGGCTTGGTGGATTCGATGTGGGCTGGTTAAATAGCCGAGGCGACAAGGTCGGGCGGGACAAGGAGGGCGAGTTGGTGGCCGAGGCGAGGGATTTGCTGAAGGAAGTGTTGGAGAAGAAGGAGGGTGGAGGGTGAAGACAGCAGTACCACCTGCAATCGAACGACGGCTCTATTGCGGCGCATTGCTKGAGCGCCCTTGTTGACTGCTTCCGCACGCCAGATGCCGGATGCGATGTGAGACAAGAGGTCTGCTAGACTTCACGAAGTCGACAAAACATGTGTCCAGGGAGACCTGGCGTGGCATTGAAGTTCCCAACGGTCTAGACAGATTCTGGGTATCAAAGCTGAGCCAGGATGATCCGACACCGCTGAGTTGCTACATGGTCTCTTGTAGGCGGCGAGCTGTGTGCCGCGAGACAAGCACTCTCCAATCCTCAACACGAGTCTGGAGCTCGGTCTCTAGGACCTATCGGGAAGAGTGAGGATTACTTCACACCAAGCCCATGTTCTGTTCACTCTCAAGGCATTCGAACATCCGAGATTCGTTCATAGAGATACCATCCGACATCTGGTCGCAAGACCAATCTCACATAGCTGGCGACGCGAGCTTCGCTTTCAACGAGACCCTGTGATGTGCTCTGAAGCTATCGCAGGAGTCCTCTTTCGAAATACTTCGGTTGAAAATGGGAATCGGAAGCTGTTCTCTCTCTCTGATGGCAGAATGTGCACATTATAATACCTGGCTGTTCCCGTATCACCTGTTTCTCCTGTTTGATGCCCGATGTGAGCAATTTCAAAAAGCGTCTCGCCAATTAGAGTGCTGCCACCTTCAAGCATGTCATGCCCAGATCGGCGCAGCGCAAATGCCGCATCATTTATACGCTCTGTCACTACGTCTTAAAAATATCGATGCGGCGTCCCATAGTCAAGCCTCCAAACTCAGAGTTGAAGCTTCGATGCTCTGCTTCACGGCATCCCAATAGTACTTCCCGCGCATAGCATAGCCGCACATGGTAACCGTCTTGCTAGGAACATGTACGGTCCCATATGCGATGAAGGTGTCCTGCGCGGCGGCCAATTGTCCAATGTGCTGGGGATACCGGCAGAGCACGTTCGGCGGTTGAGTGACAAACATGCGCATCCACGAGGGTCGAACACTCGTCTGATTCGAATCGATCGCCGGCAGGCGGAAGTTGGGGCGCTGGAATCCTTGGGTAGCTTCAGGGTTGACCCGCGCAAAGAATGAATTGGACTGCGCATAATTCGCCAGCGCAATGCCTACGATGCCTAATTTGTCGCGAGTTGCATCTTCGAATGCGCTCTGTCGCACTAATAGTGTGTAGCCCTCAGGATCCGGATCGACGAGTTCAAGTAGATAGAGGTCCTCGGGATTGGCGGCAGTGAAGAAAAGCCTCTTTTGTAGGCGGGAGGACTCGGAGATGGTCCCCTGCCAGTGCAAGTCGACACGCTGTGCGAGAAGCAGCGTCTTCATGTCTACCTTCACGAGGATGAGCTCTATGGGCAGTGTTAGCGGCTTATGGCATGCCACGCCATCTGCACGGTGGTGWCAGTTACCGAAGAGCTCAGCTGTATTGAATACCCGCTGAGAGGCAGATATGCTTTGGATGATTGTGGTCATCGTGTGTGTGTGCCACTTTCGTGGATGGTGGAGGCTTTCAATCACTGGTGGTTTAGGTTGGTTGAGTGACTGAACGAAGATCGAGATATGCTGGCCGGAGAGGTCTGGTGACTAATATTTTCAAAGTGATAGAACGGGCAGCGCTGGCTCTGGAGTCTTGCCGCAGCTTCCGGTTGTGAGCCATGGAAAGCGCTACTTCGTAGATGCAAGCCGTAGGTCCTCGCTGTTCGTCGAAATTGCCACGCCACGCTTTCTGTCCGAATTCAGGTACCCTCCAGGCTTTCAAGATTCGCGGCGTATCGCACAATCGTCCTCAGCCGAACCAAGGAGAACGTCATACCTTGTGKAGATCTTGGGGTGCCAAGACTTTAGCGTGAAGGTCGAAGTGAATGAGACACCCATGACCTCCCAGCAGGTGGCGCACCAACGAGGAGATGCATCATGGTGCCTCTGAACCGCGAGATAATACAGACTCGGCATGCTTAGGGTAATTTTGTGAATTGTCGTGCTTGATTGCATGTCGCTCTCTACTTGCCGAGCCTTACTTCTTCTATCGCCTTCTCCAAATCTCCGTGGTCAGTCACCGGAGCAGGATCTGGCTTGTAATATTTCATAGTCCATTCGAGATCGCTTTCGTGCACCTTTCTTGGTGAAGCATACTGATACATCCACCTCCCTTGCAGTTTCGACCAACCTCGATTTGGGACATATGCTTCAATGTAGTGATAGCGATCCCGGTGGAATGGAAAGTCCAAGGTGGGCGGTCCACTTCTCTCCAAGAACACATCTGTTTCATCTTCGACATCTATCGGTGAGAGTTGATACAATCTTTTCGGATTTGGAGCGGAAGTCTTCTTGCCGACTCGATACTGTCGGTTTATCGTCCCGACGGTGGTCGCGAGATGTGCTTCAAGGATTCGAGCGTAGTGAAGAGGGCTCTGTACGGCCTTTTCGACAATCTCGGCATTCAAACGGATCAGGTCAGAGTTCCACTTAGGATCTGTACCACGTGGGATTATAGGAAGCGGTTCACGGTTATTGAAGTTTGTTTGGAAGTGTGCGAGATCAAGCACTACGCACAGGGTATTCCAAGCTATCACGCAGGTCATGCAGGTGCAGAACTGCTGAGGATCGATGGGTCGAACGTGTTGGTAAGGTTTCTTGTGTATCTGCAATCGATCTTGCCATTTCTGACTCTGGAGTGATGCTCGCGCGGGAAGAGAAACTTGACTCAGGGGAACCGGCAGTGGAAGGCTTCGGGCAAGAACCCAATATCGTCTCTGGATAATGTCCCGAGCTATGATGGATTCGTTATCCTGAATGAAAGCTGCCGTGGCTTTGTTCAGGCGTTGGAGTCGGATAATGTCGCTGGGGAGGAGATAGGCAAGCACTTCGTGAAGAAGCTCGTGAGGCAATTCTAAGAAAGATTTGGTGTCTGACTGAACTGTCGTCTTTTTCAATCTCTTCTGCTGACGTTTTTGCAGCCGCTCGGTCTTCTTTGATCTCAACTGCAAAGCCTCCGTGGTATCAACAAGTGGCTCGTCGTCGTCGAATATCTTCTTCGTGGGCTTCCGAGTCTCAATGGTGTATACTTCTTCATCCGGCTGTACGATTGCTTCTTGGCCAGGACCTGTCTGAACTTCAGCCGAAGTTGGAGTGTTGGTTCCGGATGCACTCATCTTGTGGAGTGATGATGGTAATCTCGCAAGACGTCCAATGTCAATAGAATAAATCGTGCAAGAGGGGACGCGGCAGTGGCGATGTCATTGCTGACTGACACTTTTGACTCTCGGCTAAATCGCCCCGCCAAAGCATCTTGAAGTCTAGGCGASTGCAACCTCACGATCAACACACACACCCCACCAACACCTCTGGCATAGAGACGACGATACCCCGCCACACACTTCCAGCAGAACAACATCGACGGATCGTCTTAACCAACGCACACCCTTCAAAGGCTTCACCGGAGACAGTTAAGCCCGACAAAACACGACAAGTTCGACCAGATGTCGAACACCGACTTCCTCGGCCGTGCAATCGACGCGGTCAAGAAAGCCATCGAGCAGGACACCGCTGGCGACTATGAAAAGGCCTACCAACAATACTATCAAGCCTTGGAGCTATTCATGCTCGCTCTAAAATGGGAAAAGAACCCCAAATCAAAAGACATGATTCGCCAAAAGGCAGGCGAGTACATGGAGCGCGCAGAGAAGCTAAAGAACCACCTGGCCGAGAACGATGGGAAGCGGAAACCGGCAGCGATGGGAAGCAACGGATCGGTGGGCAGTAACGGTGGTGGAAAGGGCACAGAGAATGGCGGCGATGAGGAACTCGACGCGGACAGCAAGAAGCTGCGAGGCGCGCTTGCGGGTGCTATCCTGACAGATAAGCCAAATATCAAGTGGGAAGATGTTGCTGGGCTAGAGGGTGCAAAAGAAGCGTTGAAGGAGGCGGTCATCCTACCCATCAAGTTTCCACATCTCTTTACTGGCAAGAGGCAGCCGTGGAAGGGAATTTTGCTATATGGACCGCCCGGTACGGGAAAGAGTTATTTGGCCAAAGCAGTGGCAACAGAGGCAAACAGCACATTCTTCAGCGTGAGCTCGTCAGATCTGGTTTCAAAATGGATGGGAGAGTCGGAACGGTGTGTGAATTCCTGGCGMACGTGAAGGCGCGAATCAATGCTAACAGTACGACAACAGATTGGTCAAGCAACTCTTCAATCTTGCTCGCGAGAACAGACCCTCAATCATCTTCATCGACGAGATCGATGCTCTCTGTGGACCTCGTGGCGAAGGCGAATCCGAAGCGTCACGACGAATCAAGACCGAACTTCTCGTTCAAATGGTGAGCTTTCAACCTGATCTGTCAGATCAAGATTTGAATAGCACTGATACATGAATCAATTATAGGACGGTGTAGGACGGGATAGTAAAGGTGTCCTGATCTTAGGCGCTACCAACATCCCCTGGCAACTCGATGCAGCCATTCGTCGCCGGTTCCAACGAAGAGTACACATTTCACTTCCCGATCAACCTGCACGTATGAAGATGTTCGAACTTGCGGTGGGTAGCACTCCCTGCGAACTAAAGGGCGAAGACTTCAAGACATTGGCAAAGCTCAGCGAAGGTTACTCTGGAAGCGATATTACAATCGCAGTACAAGACGCTCTAATGCAGCCCGTTCGGAAGATTCAGACTGCGACACATTACAAGAAGGTGGATTGTGATGGCGTGGAGAAGCTTACCCCCTGTTCACCCGGCGATCCTGGTGCTTTGGAAATGAGTTGGACACAAATCGAGACGGATGAACTGTTGGAGCCGCCGTTACAAGTCAAAGACTTCGTAAAGGCGATCAAGGGTGCGAGAGCAAGTGTTAGCGGGGAGGATCTTACGAGAAACGCCGAATGGACGAAGGAGTTTGGAAGTGAAGGCGCTTGAGAGCATATCAAGGTTTCTCGGCTTAAATGCGCTTTCTTTGGGTGCGCCTCGACGCGAAGACACAAAACGACAGCTCATGAGTGGACTATCTGGATTGTTGCCCGGTCACCACATGAGGGGTGGAGAAGACATGACATCTCGATCTTCCTCAATCATATCAGACGCGATCGCCTGGGAAGCAAGGATCCGTGCTGCAAGCACGCATGATGATGAATACGATCACTGAAACTTGGTCAGCCTCACGAGTTCCACTGGAACTTTTCACCCTGGTCTTGCGGGTCTCCAGGCTATCTGCGGTGGCAGATCTGCTGTGGTACAGTATACATAGACTACACTATTCGCACAGCCTTTGTCAACTTCTCTCGCGCATGGCGGAGAAGTCACCAAACCGTTGTTGAATCACTTTCTGAAAGTCATACTCTTCCCCGCCTTCTCCTTTTGCGTCCTCGGCATACCCTTTGCAGCATCGAGTGACTTGGCATAGGGATTCACCTGCTTCTCCTTTTTCTTCCGCTCCTTCGCCGTGAGTTTCTCCCGAGGCGGATTTAGAATGCTCGGCGCAGCAGCGTAGTCGAACGGGGCTTCCTCCYCGGCATCCTCTCCAGCGGCATCTCGCTTCGCAGCTGCTTTTGCGGCCTTCTTTGCGGCCTTGCGAGCTTGCTTCTCCGCGTGTCCCTCATCTGTAGGAATGGTGACCTCGTCCAGTTGGGCCGCCATACCGTCGACAGGTTCCGCACGCTTGCGCTTCTTGCCAACTTCCTTCAGAATGAAGGTGCTGTCCGGCTCGTCTTCTTCCATGGGTTCAGCAACTGGTTCCGGAGTAGGCTCGCGCTGAACGTTAGATTCGTATGTTTCTGGTGGATCGGCGAAGATCTCGGCAGTGAGAGGCGGGATTGGTACAGATAGTGAAACGCCGTTCAGATTGCTCGCATTGCGCTTCTGGTTCCACGCGCTGCTTTCAAACGCCGCACCCCAGAATGCAGATTTCGGCGTTCGTATGGGCACGGCGGATGCTACGGATGTACCATTCGCAACAGGCGCAGGAGCCTGAGCTGCGGCTACCGGTGCAGCGGTCGGCGCGACAGCAGGTTTGCGGTATTGAGGCTCCACCTTCTCAAGGACCTCCATCATGTCAGGGCCGTTCTGACCAGCCGCTTTTGCTTTGGTGATGACACTCAAAAGCTCGTCCGCGCGTAGACGCACAGTCTGGGTTGCAGGTTGGGCGATGCCTAGTAGAGCAAGACGCGTGGGTGGCATTGCTTTTGCAAGACTGAAGATTTGATGATTTGGCATCACCCAATGGATGCTTTCGTCTTGTTGTCTCGCCACGGTATCGCGCCACTGATGCACAGCACGGAACACAGAGAACTGCTCTTTGGAGAACAACGCTGGTGTGCGCGACAGAAGCTTGTACCAGCCAAAGGATCCTTGTCCAAGCTCTGCGTCGTATTGCGGGTGTTCGTAACGCTGCRATGCAACTTCAGAGCTCTTCTGTAGTACATCCCACAGCTTGTCACCTTCGTGATCTGGCATGGCAAAGTTGGACCGCTCAATCAATTCATTCCGCATACAATCGAAGATGTAGAGCAGGTAGTGTGTGTCACTCCGCGCGTAGTCGAAGAGCTCTTGGGGAAGTGGCCGAACACGCCAATCGGCCATTTGATATTGCTTCTGGGCATCAACGTTGGCAAACTTCTTCAACAGGAATGCAAGACTGCCGCCCGTATATCCCAGCGCTCTGCATGCATGATGAGTGTCGAAGAGCCCGACGAGATACAATCCCAAGTCTCGCTGGAGCCACACTGCGTCCATGAAAGCTCCATGCAGAACTTTGATGATGGCAGGATTGGCAAAGACTTCGTTCAGGATCTGCAGCTTTTGTCTCCAGGGCTTGAGTGTGTCGACAATCCAGTCCTTGTCGCGGGTGCTGATTTGCATGAGTGATACAATACCTACATATGTGTGTTGATCGTGGTGCTCAAGGTCGACGGCAATCTCTTTTGCCTGCTTGAGTTCTTCAAGCATTTCGTGTAGTGCTTCTTCCGTGTCGACGAATGTTGCAGTTGTCGATTCGAATGGGTGGTATGGGATGGGTTCACTCTGTGTATAGAGTGATGACGGATATCGGTACTGCTCGATTTCGAGCTGGTAAGGATGCGGATACCTGCTTGGTAGGTTAGAGTCAATGTTCGCATATCTTTTTCTTTCTATGCTGGGTCTGGAGAAGAGATGTTTGAAAGTGTGTTGATGTGTTGAAGGCCCAAACTGAGAGTGAGTGGCGAGATGAAAGGCGTACATTTGTTGGGAGTCTGAATCACTCGAGATGGGTGCCGTCTCCAAGGCCACCGATGCATGAGGCTTGCTCAGCAAAAGTGGTTTGAAGGGACCCGTTTCATTATTCTTGGGCACATGTTCAAAGTGCAACTGTGGTTTTTCGAGGTTCCTGTCCCGGATCGTGTTCTGTATTCTGGACGACCTCTGCGGCTTTGCTGCGGCCGCCTGACAGATGATACTTAGCACATGTTCATTCTGCGTTATCATCTCTTCAAATATCCTACCTGGTCTGCTCCAGGACTCAATCTCTTCACGGCGCCCGTGAACTCGTCAAGCGCAGTATCCGCGCGCTCCAGCAGGCTGTCAACGACATCAACCACGGCCTTCCAGTTGCCTTCGACCGAATCGAGGTCCCTGAGACGTGGCGGACGTACTATCTCCGTATTCGCTGTCGCAGCGCCAACCAACCGTTCCGCAAGACCCAGAAGCCGCGCATTCTGTTGATCCAGTGAGGGTCCGACGGCCGAATCGAGCGAGCGATGGAAGGAAAGGTCTTCGCTGGCCAGCGAAGATGCGCTGCGGATGGTCGATACGAGCGCTGATTTGATGTCGCGTTCGAGTTTCGTAAAGTCCTCCATTATGCGACGACTGAAAACTGCTCGGAGGGTATTGCGCTCGCTGTGGGGGATATCCGGTCCATGTCAAGATGTGAGCAGGAAATGTCGAAGTCAAGTCGTGAATGCAACTTTTGGCTGACTAACGTCACTAGCGCAAAACCTTATTCAAGAGGGCCATCCGCGCGGCAGGCACATCTCTCTTTATTCCCATCCATATTCACAAGGTTGCTTTTGTTGAGTTCATCTAATCGGCTCAGATCTACAGTGGAACGTCCACATGTCTCCAATGCCGTCAATCGTGCAGGCTATTGAAGCCAAAGCAGGCWCATGCATCACAATTGACTCTGAATGCAACCCGTCTTCTCTTGATAAGTGCCAACCTCAAGAACAATGCCTCCTGTTCTCTTTACCTGCTGAACTCCGAGATATCATATGGGTATACGCTTTTCAACAAGAACCTGATGTTGAGTTTGCCGACAACCCGGATCTGTCTTGCGGACACCATCCATCATCCACAGCTCTTACATCAACCTGTAGAAGGCTATGGCTGGAGACAAATGCCATCTCCTTCCCAAAAGGGACGCACAAATCATGGCATACCGGAGGAGAACTTCAAACCAAAAATCTTGTCGAGAAGCTGACAGTACTCAATCGCTCGCGCCTAACCGCCCTTCATGTAATTCTAGAGGGCTGTTGGATAAGTTTCAGCAAAGACTACACTTATGAAGAACTCCCACTGTGGCCCGCCAAATTGATCGTCACAATTCTATCATGGCCATGGGAAATGATGCCTGGCACCAGGGAGTTGGGCACATCCATGCACATCTACGTCCGCGATCTTCTACTTGACGACAGTATTCGTAATACCCATGAGGTGGAATTTCATCTCGAGGAGCGCGTAGAGCAGATACAACCTGGAGTCGCTAGACGTCAGCCAGGACTTGCTCGTTTGCATTACGTTCAGCGTCGAAATCTGGACATCCGCTCGGATGAAGGCATCGACGACACTATGAAGTACTGGGRGCTGCAGCCGGTAGAGTCGGAGCCTTGCAGATTCTGGACAAGGAGGATTCCTGACAATCGCTTGATGAAGCCAGAAGATCCAAACTCTGTGGAGTATTTGACGTACAAGTTTACCTGGCGTAGAATCGCCGCTTTCCCTGACGATTATCGTTCTACGGCCAACGCCGGACACACATCACGTGGGGATGGTTCATATGAATCAAGTGTGGAGTCGGTTGGATCTCCCGTCACACCCTTATCGGACGAGGAGCACAACATACGGCGCTGGGAGACGAGATGGAAACGTGAGAAAAGCCTTCTGAAATTTGCTCATTGAAACACAGGTACAATACATCATCATAAATGGTCAAAGTACTAGATCGACCTCATCCATCCAAATGCAACACGGCTGCAATCTCATGACTCGTCACTCGTTCCATACAATAAAGACATTCTAGGTTGTGCCAGCAACAATGTTAAAACCCTTCCACTCAGGGATAGTCGCTCGACAACTAGCCTCATAAACATTGAGACCAKCGATAAACGACTGATTTTCCGGCTTTTTGCCCGGAATGTTCGAACCGTTCCACCACGAGTCCGTGAAGGGGAACAGGGTGCCTTCGATCATGGCGTTCAGCATGGCTTTCCACTCTGCTTCAGCCTCTTTCTTGGCTTCGATTTCCTTGACATTCTCGCTCTCAAGCTTCTTAATCATATCGACAATCGTCTCGACCTGACACTCGATGATCGTCGTCCCGTTCGAAAGAGCCGTGGGCGCCTGGGGCGAGTAGGCCATGAAAAGGTTTGGAAATCCGGCCAGTGTCAGGCCCAGATAGGTTGAGACGCCCTGCTCCCAGATATCCTTCAAGGGAACACCATCTTTATTCTTGAGCCCCATGTTAGTCAGTGAACCAGTAAAAGAGTCGAATCCAGTAGCCAGAACCACACAATCGAACTCGTGAAGCTTGTCGTCCGCCATGACCATGCCTTTCTCTGCAAATGACTTCAAGGGCACTGACCCAAGATCATGGACGCTGACATTGTCCTGGTTCATGACATCGTAGTAGTCTTGCTCCAGCGGTACACGCTTGGTGTTGAAATAGTATGGCATCTTCTCCGGAGCCAGAATCTTCTGCTTCGCGGGGTCTGTGAGCCGCTGGCAGACTCTCTTTCGCCAGTAGTCGTAGACAATCTTGTTGGACTCTGGATTTACAACCACATCGCTGTAACCTCTAAGGAAGAATTGGAATCCACCAGCAGCCCAGCCGCGATCGAAAAGCTTCTCTCTCTCCTCCTCCGTTACCTCCTGGGCTCCCTTTGGGTTGCCCTCGCTGGGAAAACCACCAAGGGAGTCCCGAGCAGACTTGAATAATGTGGGGTAGTATGCCTTGAGTTGTCTTTGCTCTTCTTCGGTGAGTTTCCGTTGCTGCATTGGCAGGCAGTAGCTTGGACGGCGCACAAACACGGTCAGCTCATCTGCTTGCTTGCCGAGCTCCTGTGTGATCTGGACAGCAGTTGCGCCAGCGCCAATCAATCCAATCTTCTTGCCCTTGGCGTTAAAGTCCTCCTTCCACGCTCCCGAGTGGTAAACCTCGCCCTTGTAATCTTTCAAACCTGGGAAATCGGGAGTGTAGRTCYSGKKGRKC